GTTGAGGTCCGGCGGGCGGCCAAGGCGAGACTGCCGCCCGCCGGTGAAGCAGAATGACTAGGTTGTTAACCTAGCTCTGATACCATGTAAAATAAATTGATGTATATTATTGATTGATGTATTACAAGATTGTTGTGTTATATTTGATATTACAAGGATTCCTATTATATAGAAGAGGATTTGGGTAGTAGGTGAGTGTGTGTGGTAGGTGTAGGAAAGTAGGTGAAGTAGGTGAGTGTGTGTGGTAGTGGAGGTGGTAGGTGGAGTGAGTTATGGTAAATTCTAACAGAAAATTAGGAGTTAGATATGACATAATGTTGTTGCCTAATCTGTATACTTCTCAATTCCCTGGTGCATTGTGCATTTTGGTGTGATGCAACATTTATCTGTGTGCTAGGTGTTTGCATGTCATCATATATTATGGGCAAAGTTCATGACGACGAGCTCCATGTTGTTCAGCAGTTGGAGGAGATTTATCAGGTTTGCCTTCATGAGGTTTCGAAATTGTATTTTCTTCACACAAGTTTATCTTAACATTTTTAATGGAAACATATCCTTTTTTTTTCTAGATGCTTTTGAGAAGGTTTGAACATGAAAAGCAAAAGTTGGAAGCTGTTATACAGACCACTAAGCATCCATTTCCACTCACAAATTCAGCTGCTTGCTGCATTTTCTCCACTGATGTATTGTGTAGAAGGTCTGGCTTTGATAGTTGGCAGGGCACTATTCCTATAATTGACAACACAAGTGTTTTCTTGGATATGGAGCTACTTCAAGAGCTATCACAGATTGTTTTGGTTGATGCAGAAGAATTGCAACTGGTATGATCACTTATTCCCATTTATTCGTTGATTTGTCTAGTTGCGCTGAAATCATCTAATACATCTCTGCTCACAAATTTCTTGAGTAAGCTGTAATAGCAATGTGTACTCAGTGTAAGATTCCTTAATTTGATGGTTTTCCTAGAGTAGACACGTGCTTTGCCTCAAACTATATGTGGTTACTTTGCTGATGGTACTGGTTTACTTTTGGAGGAAAATGGTATTACATTTTTAATTCATATTTGTTTCAGTACCTGATCTTTTTCTAATGTAGAGGTTTTTAAATTGTGGTTTTTGGAAAGTTTTATATGCTTCCCAGCTGAATATGATGTAATATTTTTGTAACTTGCTAATTTGTTTGGCTAGAATTGCAAAAAAGGGGAAAAGAAATCTAAGATAAATATTGTTTGCACTGCACTTTTTGATACATTACAAATACATGCTGATCATGAGATGTCAAAGGTAGTTGGGTGAGAGGTCACAGCTTGTTAAAATTTAATTTACCATCACCTACCACCAATTTACCATCACCTACCACCACCTACTCCTCACCTACTACACTCACCCTCTCCTATATAATGAGCCACTCACCATTTGTAATGAAAACACAACAACATATATCAATCAATAATACATAAATTCTTACATGGTATCAGAGCAAGGTTAAGAATTTAATATTTTTCGCTTCACCGGCAGGCGGCAACCTCGCCTTGGCCGCCCGCCGGACCTCAACCAATTTGAGACCTCCATCAACTCGCAAGACCTCTCTCACACTTTCTCTCTCTAGCAGAGCATTTGTCAAAATAGACAGCAACAAAATGCAGAAAGAAAAAAAAAGCAGGAGTCCTTCAGTTCCTGAGACCGATGCCCAGCAGTCAACAAAATCTCCTAAGCAGATGCATTAATAAATGCTCTTCCAGGTTGACGGTTTGCCAAAGGTCCATGGCACCCAAGAAGCTTGGCATTGACACCATCTCAGTTCCTCCAGCTACGGCTCCGACGACACCAACTGTTCCAGCTCCTGTATCATCCACGCCAGCTGTTTCTCTGGCCACCGCGCCAGCTGTTGCTCCTCCAGTGCCGGCTTCTTCTCCTCCGGCTGTGGCTGTTCCATCGCCAGCTCCGAGCAAGAAGAAGACTAAGAAGAAGCCCAATAGGAGCCGTTGCTATATGTTTTTCCTTCATCATCAAGCTCGAGACGCGGCAGCTGCCTTAAGAACGGGTTCATGTCATCCATTTCTCTCTGATAATCTATTGGTCTTAAATCAGAGTCACAATAATCAGTCTGGAGAAAAGGGTCATCAAGATACACCTCTCTCTATCTCTCTCTCTCTTTTTTTTTACTTTCCAACCCATGTGCATTTTTTTTTATTCTACTTTTTGACAACCCATAGGGTCCCAAGTCTCTCTCTTCTTTTTTCCAACATAATCATCTCTCCCAGAGCATCATACACACAAACCCATGAGACAATTAATGTTGGAACAGACATTGCTGCTAAAGCAATTGCCCCACATGGGCATGTCCCTCCGCCATATGCTGCTAAAGCAATTTGGTATGTTCTATTATAATATATTATATTATTATAGTATGATATATTACATTGGCATTAGGTATCCAGCTGGTTTTGCCCACACCCCTACTCTTTTTTTATTTTTAAATCAATCTTCACCTTTTTTTTTTTTCTTCTCTTTTCATCCACTTTACACCATGCCGTCTGATCTCACTATTCCTTTTATTTATTTTATTTTATCTTCTTTCTTTCAAAAAAAATAAAAAATAAAAAATAAAACAATTCACACATTCTCACCCCTTTTTTTTTCTGCATGTCCTTCCTACCATCCGGGTTTGCACAACACATTTATTTTATTCATATCCGGGGATCAACCCCGATCACAATTTTACACCAAAAAAAAAAAAAAAAAAAAAAAACAAAAAAAAAATCGTCCTCCCTAGCCGTTGTCAAACCGGCTGCAGAGTAGGACAAATGAGGTGCAGCATTTAAACGCCCAACTGGCTCTGCTCCAACGCATGTATAAGGATGCGCGAGCAGAGATAAGTGTGCTGAAAGCAGAAAATAAGGAGCTGAAGCGGAAGGCCACCGTAATGTTCCGATTTGGAGGTCCGCCATATGCTGCAGTGGAGGAGTATGGGGGAGTGATCATGCCCAGTGGAGTGGGAAACACGGAGGCAACACCGGCAAGGACCGCCCAGGACGGAGGCAAGAAGAAAAGACCGGCGGCAGAGTAGAGAAGAAAAATCCCACCTGTGAATGTGGTTGTTTGTTTGTATTTGTTTTTATTTTTATTTTTATTTTTTTTTTTGTATGTGGAAACATGGTGATCGGGGTGAGCCCTAAGATAAATAAAACTAAGTTGTTGTGCAAATCTGTAATTTATTTATTTATTTATGTATTTATTTATTTATTTTTTTTTTTGTTTTTTAATATATATATTATGGGTGGAATGAGGAGGAGTGCCTACGGAAGTATGACTCCGTGATTTGGTGGAGATATGATACTAAGATATTTTAAAAATATTAAAATAATAAAATATATGTATAATAAAATAATATACAAGTGGAGGAGGGTATAAAAGTGAAGAATGATGATTTTGGTAATTGTTAATATAGATATATATATATATTTGATATATGCTAGTGGGATGAATGGTGGGTTCTGGCGACATCATAATGTGGGGGTGTAGAGCCTGACAAAATAAAGAGGGGAATCATGAGATGTGATTAAAGTGGGCTAGTGGATGCAAGGATGGCCACGCCTCTATGTATCAGTGCGTGTATTGGTGTGTAATAGGAGAGTGAGTGAAAGTGCAGCTTCTTTTTTTTTGTTTTTTTTTTTTTTAAGAGAGAGACCAAGAGAGAGAGCACATGCCTCTCTATCTCTCTGTGTGGTTTGCTCAGATCAAAAGAGATTGGAAAACCAAGCAAACACATTATTAAGAGAAAGCTTCTGTGATAGTGACTTTAAAATCCCAATCTCTTCTCTCCTCTTCACCTGCCCAAACCAAACCCTAGTCATCGTCGTTTCAGTCCACGTCGTCGGCAGCTCATCCGCCACCATCCCCGTGATCTATGGCTCCGTCACCGTCTGCAACATCGTCGCCGAACATCCAACTCATTGAATCCAATGCTAGCGAGACAACCAATCTCCTTCGACTACTACATCACCGAGGCTCGGATAACTTCTGTGGCGGTGCTAGAGTCGAAGCTCGTTGGCGGAGGCGATTCAGAGAATGATCGGAGAAAGAGTTCGCCGATCTACAGATCCACCCGCCGCCGCCGAAACCTTCCCTTCTCCTCTCAATTACAGACAGATCCGACATAAAGATCTTAGGTTTCTTCCATCTTTGTGTGTGTTGAATTCTGTTGGATTTGAGCAGATCTGTTGTATGATAATGATAAACAAATATTTGGTGTGATGATATATATATATATATCCCACTGCTATTTGTAAGTTTGTGACTTATTTGCTCATTGTAATTCTTGTCTCATATATAGAACAAAATGTCCTATCCGGTTGTTCGTAGAGCTATTTACGATGGCATTGCAAGATTAATTTTTTTTTTAATTGTTGTCATATTCACCATTATAGTTATAATATGATGTGTTACCTTTATCAACTAATAGTACAGGAATCAGCTTGTCCAAAACAATACATAGGGTAAGGCTGCCTACCTACTTCCTCTCCCAGTCCCTGTTGTACAATGGGAGCATTGTACACTCGGTACAACCTGTACCAACTACCATTCACATCCTGTTACCGCTCATATTTTTCAGTTCTTTTCATAATTTTGTAATGTGACGTGTATGCATGCATATATTGCCTACTTTACATGGAAATATGAGTTGTTTCGTGACACAAGCAAATATCAATTGCTGTAATGATGAGTCAGAAAATTAGGAGTTAGATATGACATAATGTTGTTGCCTAATCTGTATACTTCTCAATTCCCTGGTGCATTGTGCATTTTGGTGTGATGCAACATTTATCTGTGTGCTAGGTGTTTGCATGTCATCATATATTATGGGCAAAGTTCATGACGACGAGCTCCATGTTGTTCAGCAGTTGGAGGAGATTTATCAGGTTTGCCTTCATGAGGTTTCGAAATTGTATTTTGTTCACACAAGTTTATCTTAACATTTTTAATGGAAACATATCCTTTTTTTTCTAGATGCTTTTGAGAAGGTTTGAACATGAAAAGCAAAAGTTGGAAGCTGTTATACAGACCACTAAGCATTCATTTCCACTCACAAATTCAGCTGCTTGCTGCATTTTCTCCACTGATGTATTGTGTAGAAGGTCTGGCTTTGATAGTTGGCAGGGCACTATTCCTATAATTGACAACACAAGTGTTTTCTTGGATATGGAGCTACTTCAAGAGCTATCACAGATTGTTTTGGTTGATGCAGAAGAATTGCAACTGGTATGATCACTTATTCCCATTTATTCGTTTCTTTGTCTAGTTGCGCTGAAATCATCTAATACATCTCTGCTCACAAATTTCTTGAGTAAGCTGTAATAGCAATGTGTACTCAGTGTAAGATTCCTTAATTTGATGGTTTTCCTAGAGTAGACATGTGCTTTGCCTCAAACTATATGTGGTTACTTTGCTGATGGTACTGGTTTACTTTTGGAGGAAAATGGTATTACATTTTTAATTCATTTTTGTTTCAGTACCTGATCTTTTTCTAATGTAGAGGTTTTTAAATTGTGGTTTTTGGAAAGTTTTATATGCTTCCCAGCTGAATATGATGTAATATTTTTGTAACTTGCTAATTTGTTTGGCTAGAATTGCAAAAAAGGGGAAAAGAAATCTAAGATAAATATTGTTTGCACTGCACTTTTTGATACATTACAATTACATGCTGATCATGAGATGTCAAAGGTAGTTGGGTGAGAGGTCACAGCTGAATAAGCCTTGATATAGCAGAATCAGAATTCAACATAATAATTATTATTATTAAATTTTTTTTGTTTTTGTTTTTGATAATGTTACAGCAGAATTTTAGGGGAGAGACCTAATCCCTCTGAATTAATATTGATAAAGAGATGCACCTGAACTATTTTTTAGGGATATTTCTTGTCATTAACTTTCTTCAGGGAGTAGGATTCACCTTGAAGTTTATTAAAATATCATTCTCTGTGCATAGCTAAATATTTGGATTACATGTATTTTGTGTGCACATATGTAACCCAAGTTATTCCTTGCTATGTTTTAGTTCTTTTAGTTTTTGATGATATTCATCTTGGTTTGTTCTCTTTTCTGTTATTGCAGGATTTGTCCAATTTGTCCGTCCTTTTGGAACCAACCTTGAATTTTTCATTGAGCTTCTCATCAAGACCTCCGACTGACTTTTTACCTCATCAAAAAATTTTATGGACACTGGATGCATGGACATCAGTTAGTGCAGGTCTGTTAAATACTTTTTTAATTGTAGGCGTATGTAGTATTTTTTTAAATGCTAAATTGCTTACTCCACTTGTGTTACAGGAAATGCAAAAATTGCTAGTTTTTTGCTTGAGATGTGGTTTAGTTGGCACTCTTCTTTGTGGATCATTCAGCCTGTTTTGCTCAAGGTATATATATATATATATCACAATGTAGCAAATTTTACTTGTTCATGACTTTGAAATTTGTTACCAGACTCCCTGTTGGTTGTCTTTGTATTCATCTTGCAGAACTTTTCAAGGATGGATGATTTTGAAATGAAACTACCTCATATGTTTTTCCAGCCTGTGAGAATGGCAACTGTTGACCACATTTTGTAAGATAATTGGTTTTAGATGTTCATTGTTGGTTCTTTTTTTCATTTAATCTACTTATTTTTTATTTTATTCTTTTATTTTTGTTTATTTGACAGAAGATCCAGTGGTTAACTGTTTGATGTCTGGTTGGTTTTTTTTATATTTTTTTATCAAGGTTGAATATATTTTGTGACTGATAAATTCAACCTAGTAAATGGGAACTTATAAGCCATCCTTATTTGTGGATTATGGTTTATTGTCTAATGGTTTTTGTCATATTGAATTATCTGCACTTTGTGAAAGTGCTCATTCTGTGTCCTCTTAAGTGGCTGTTATGTTTTGTCACCATGAAATTTTGAAGGACAGAAGCTGGATTATTTAATTGAGATGTTTGTCATGATGTGCTGTTGATATGTTGCTTGCTCTTGTGGATTACTTATTAAACAGTGAAACTAGTAGACAATGTTTTCTCTAGTCATATATATTTTCTTGTTATTGAATTTTGTGCAAGGATTTTCTGTTGATTTAAAATGTGTTGCAGTGTCGAACTTCTTTTGTTCTCATTTCTCTTCCATCTTTAAAATCAGGCAAAGTACATCTGCTATCAAGGATTATCCCATGCACTGCTTAAAAATTAGAGTTGCTTCATGTAATTTGTGGCAAAGTTGTCCACCTGTTACAAATGTACTAGCTTTTCTTTTATCTGTGGCTCGGTCTCTCTTCCAACAGGTAGCTTTCCTTCTTCAGTCAGATATATCTTCATTGGTGTGAATAGAAATATTGAATTTCATTCTCATGATGCTCTTCTGCTTCCAGATTATATATGCTCACAGAAAATCATTTGAAGCTGATAAGTATGCTGTGATTAAGTCTCTTCTTGGTTCCTTTCAGAAAAATATGATAACGGTATGCAAGTACTTTCAAGTCTTTCAAATTCAGTAAAAATTATACAGTATGTGAAATGCCTACAATAAGATTTTGCAGCATACCTATGGATGTTCGTTTACTGCATTTACTTTTCTATCCTAGACAAGTATTGTAAGATACTATTGCATGTATTTGTAATGAAATTATAACATATTTTATAGAGTTTATTAGTCTCTAGTTTGAATGATTGGTAAAAGCATTTTTTCTTACTCTCATTTGGTCAAAATTTTTGTTGGTCAACTGTTTGATTCTTTTTAACTCTGTTTACAGGTAGACGACATAAATGATGTGCTTTCCATGCTTGCATCATCAAACCACCTTGGATTAGCTTCCTTGGTGAATTCCTTCATTAAGCCAGTGCTTGGGGAACTGTATCTTCAATGCTCGTCTACTGGTGAGTTTGTGGTCTGTCTTTTAAACTATTTTTTGTTTAGAAAATAATTATATTTGGTACGGGACTAGTATTACTTGACTCTTTAGTTGTTGATGATGTTTGACATTTCGACATTTTTATCATCTGTCTCTTTTGTAGACCTGGTATATAATCTAGGGTGTGCATGGTTAAGATTGGGAGGCTTACGTTATCATCTCTTGATTACCTTTGATGATCTGGATCCTGCCATGAAATACTCTTGCAAGCACTTGAGGTTGGTCGAAAAGATTGGGTTGCTTGAACTTGAAAATGAGGTATGTTTTCCCTCTACAGTTTCCTGTTTTACATAAGCATGTGATCAAATTAGTCTAATTCTGTCTCATATATGTTTCTGCTGCGAAAATTTGGATTGCCCTTTTCTATTGCGGTGGAAACATGTGTGCTGTGGAAGTGAAGAACAAACAGGGTCATCATTAAAACAAAAGTTGATGGTGTGTAAGCATGCATTATGGCATTTATGGATTAGGATTTCTAATATGGAGTGCTTCTGTGTAATGTGGAAATGGTTGAAAAAAGTAATTTCTTTATTTATGCGTATGCATGTTTGTGCATGTGCTTTGGAAAGGAGTGGAGAACATATATGTATGCTTATTCAAATTTTGTACCTCCGCTTTTTCAATTAGCAAGGCTTTCTTTTAGTGTTTCTTGATGCCATGAGAATGTTACAATTTCTGAATATAAATGTTTGAGCCATGCATGAACTTTTGCTTTTCCCATATTTCTTCGATAACCAATTGGTGCCCTACTAGTAGACTTTGAAAGGGAAAATTAATCCTAGTCCTTGCTCGAAGTTCTTGTATTATAATTAGGGGTTAGTTGGTTTGTTGAGGGGGGAAATTATTGGCAGAGGCACTTGCTGCTTGCTTCTTGTTGCATATGCCAACTTTCTTCCTTTGTGGCATGTGCATTTGGAAGCTTACACATGCATGCATTCGAGCTAAAATGAAACATGATTTCCTCTTGCTGTCATAAGTCAATGTTTGAAGATGGCAATAACACTTGTCATGTCATTTCTTACAGGTACGGAAAGAGAGTGCCTATTTAGCTGGATGGGTTTCATGGGGTGAGGCTGACAAACAAAGAACAATGGCATTGGAAAACCTCAAAGCTGATTGTAAAAGTCTTAAACGAAAGGTTCAGTGACTTCTAGCCCAACCTCCGTCTCTCTGTAAATATATTATATCTCATAGATTAGTGGTATTGGGGCCATAAAGTTTAGATATTTACACTCCAATTGATATGGGGATCCAATTCTGGAAAGTCTAGCTATTTTCCTTGATTTTTAGTGTGAACTAATGTGTTGTAGTAATTGGCTGCATGATAATGCTATAAACTTTTTTAATATAGAACTCTTGTAGCTTTAATTTTTTTTTTCTTTATCCTTATCTTCTTTTTTTATTTTTTTCACACCCTCTTAATGAGTTTTGCTTCGTCACGCAGATTGTGTTCCGCTCTGATCCTAGGAAATTTGTAAAGTTAAAATATGAATGTGAGGAGTTTCTTAAAATGGTTGTAACTTCTGTTGGTCTGATCAAAGATGTTGATAGCATGGACAAACAACAGATTAGTGACCAAGTGTGCAATTGGCAAGTATAAATTAGCTGTTTTTGACTGAATACTCATTTTTAACTATTTGATTGTACTTTTAGATGAACTGCTTATTACATGGGCCTTTTACTTTTTCCTTAATGCAATTGTATCCTTTCAAATTATTATGCTGTTTAGTTAATAAGCTACTCATAAAATTTTACAAATATGATTCATGACATCAATTTTATCTTTTGATCTATCAGGAAACAGCAACCCGTTTCATTGATCGGCTATCAAATGAATATTCTGCATACGTCGATATAATTCAACCAGTTCAAGTTGCAATATATTTCTATCAAGTGCCATTCAGAAAATTTATCGTTGGTTCTATCGTTGCTAAATTTATCATTGGTTCTATCGTTGAAACTAGGTTTATCGTTGGTTCTATCAAGTGCCATTCAGAAAATTTATCGTTGGTTCTATCGTTGCTAAATTTGAAAACTACCTGGCAGGAGACAATTTATTCATTTATGAGATTTCCTAGAGGCTTTGCATCTGATGCTGTTTCTGTCAGGATCGACTGTGGGTTGGCCAAGTTTCCTTCATGTGATATAGATTTCCTTATGGACACAAAGGCAATGGATATGAATTTGCTGGAAAGTTTGGTTACTTCGACAAGAGATGTCAATTCTGATAAGATGGTCTGTGACTCCTTTGATTTAATTTCTTGCCTGTATACATGTTCTGATTTAATTTGACTCATGAGCATATTGTCTTTGTATCTCATGGTTCTTCTAGTTTCCCATGTGCTTGACTTTTATCTGAATTGATGAGAAGCTGTGTATTCAAATACTTCCCATTGATAACAGGTCTCAGACTTGCAACTGAAAGCTTCCATACACCACAACATTCTTCTCCGTGTAGTGCATTCTATTGCTGAGGCCCAATTAATGGATAATGCATCTTTTGTTGTAAGAATTACTCCTCTGTAGGATTTCAAACAAAAGTATTCCAGAAATTTATTTGCATCAAGGCTTTTAACTAATATGGTGTATTTATCAATCAGCTCTTGGATAAGACATTTGATGAGTTTGCTAGCCTTTGGATGAATATGAAAGTTGAAGTAAAGACCAAAGAAGATCATGAAGCTCGACAATTCAAGTTCAAGCCTCGTGCATTTAAGATAGAGAACATAATGGAAATTGACATATCAACTCTTGGTGGTTCATTAGAAAATGAGATACTTTCAGAATGGCAGGAATTGCTTTCTGATGAAAAAGTTGCTGAAAAGGTAATTATAATTTGTGTTTGTGCTGTGTGTGTATAGTTGTTTTTCTAACAGTGTCTTTTCATCCATAAAGAAAGCTGAAGAGGAAGATGATACTCTGGAGGAGGAATGGAACTTAATGAAGGGCTCCATCTTGAACAATATGGTGCACATTCACAATCAACTATTTGGGTCCATGGATCTTGTTGAAACAGTATGTTCTCTCAATCATCATATGAAGTAATCATACTTGCATGTTGCTGATGCTTTGAACTCATTAATACTGTGAAGGGTGTTTTGTAGCTTAGTAGTTACGTGTAAATGGAAGACCATGCATTGGGCAGATGACAAATAGAAGAGTAAAAGTAGAGTCCCCTATGGCCCTCAGACTAGAGTTGCCAACAAATAATTTGTAAGATGACAAGTATGTTACAGTGCTGGTTTCTTTTGATTGCTGACTGAATAGTTAGACTTGAGTTACACAAACATATATGTTAGTATGGTAGCCTGGTAGTTTATACGCCCAAACTCTGATCCTTCACTTGCATTGGTTGCATTTATCACTTCTAAGGAAATTTTTTTACAAATTTGGAAGGTCTTTTGATTTTTGTGTTGAGAATCTAATACGGTGAACATGTTTCTTGCACTGAGTTTATCATTTTTGTAACAGAGGATATTAATTCTAATTTGATATAAACGTCAAATCAAATATATCTGCCACTTACCTTTTGTTTGCTATTTCTATGCTAGCTATATATATTCAGATCTTAGTTTTGTTGCTTCCATCATTGTAGCCTTCTAAAACTTACGCCACGTTCAGTTCTTTTATTTCTTTGCATGTGCTTGTGTGTTCTGTATTCAAACTGAGGTTTATACCATGCACTATTTTTATTCTAATTTCTGGTCCCCAAAGCAGCCTGGAATTCTAAAGGTCTCTGAAGCAGATCGGTTGTCATCCTTCATAGACTCCTACGGACTGGGAATAAGAATGATTAATGGTGATTAATTTTAAAACTTTCATCTGAGTAATATGCGGTAATTTGTTCATATGATAACATATTTCATATGATGTCTTTTTGTCCAGGTTTAGAGGGATTACTATTGTCCAGTTTGGATGCTAAACTTGCTCCTGAACACTTGTTCCGCCTTTGTTTGGAGCATGAACAGAAATTAAATTCATCTCATAAATCAGCTCATGCATATAATTTTTACAAGGTTTTCCAAGCTTTATTTCTATGTATTTTACAATTTACTTTTTAAACTCGTTTGGTCCTTAACCTTTTTTTTCCTTTTTTAATTGTGTCTAGGATTCAAATGCTCCTGTGATGGTTAAGATGGTGGAGCTGGTCACAATTCTTCAACAGAGAATTGTATTTCTTTTGAATGAATGGGATGATCATCCTGCTCTTCAGAAAATCGTGGATGTGATAGAAATGATTTTAGCTATTCCTCTAAGCACCCCGCTGGCTAAGGTAGTATATTTGACTAAGTTTGCATGGTTATTAGGACCAATTTGCTTAATGGCAGTGGTTTTAGACCACAAGTTAATCTGGAGTTCAAAATATAATAGCAAGAACAATTGTGAAAAAGCAAATACTGATAAATTGGGAAATCCACATAAGATGCCATCTGATGAAAATAGGTAATGTTAGTTGTTCCCATTTCTTTAGTCTTATAATGCACAATGAGCAATGTTGCTGTTACACCATGTGCTTAAAACATTAGGCATTACCAATTGGCTCAGGCTCCCTGCCCCCTCTGTTCTTTTAAAAAAAGAAAGCTTGTGCGTATTAAAGGTAAAGTAACATCTGTCTGCTTAAATTTGGGTTTTCTTTGCTGCTTTCTTCTTTGAAGGCTCTTTCAGGTTTGCAGTTCCTGCTTAATAGGGTGCGGGTGCTACAAGAAACTGTTTCAAAATTCCCGCTCTCTGGTAAGCATTTAAATTTGGTAAGCATGAGTTCTTTTGTGGTTGTGCTATCAATTTTCTTCTCTCTTCACTCTCTCCTTTTTTTGACTCAGCTGAACTGGATCCGATTTTTAACCTGGTATCCTCATGGCAAAAGTTGGAATTTGAGTCTTGGCCTGCCTTGCTTGATGATGTTCAAATTCAATTTGAGATTAATGCTGCGAAGGTATGTTATTTGCTCCTTTATTTTATTTTATTATTATTATTTTTTTTAAGAATATATAGTTAGTTTCTAGTGAAAACACTCAAAAAGCGTTTAGACCTTACTCGAAATAGTCATATCAAATTTGTGAGGATGATCTAGAAATCGATTTCAAAACTTCAACATGTAGAAAATTTAATGTCGTTTCTAGTAACTTTTTGGATTATTTTATCATATTTCTTACTTGCTAAATGAGATTTGCTTTTTTTTTTTATTTTATTTTATTATTATTATTTTTTTTAAGAATATATAGTTAGTTTCTAGTGAAAACACTCAAAAAGCGTTTAGACCTTACTCGAAATATTCATATCAAATTTGTGAGGATGATCTAGAAATCGATTTCAAAACTTCAACAATATGACAAAGCATCAGGCCAGGAAAGTTCAACAATTAAAAGTTGAGACAGGAAGCTAATCAGCGGATTGAATTCTGTACTAAAAAAGTGCTAGCACCTGTTTGCAGTTCCAAAAACATGCATTTGTAATAAATCCTACTTAAGAGCTGAAAATTTGCTATTATATCTTAGACACCAAAATAACTATTGTAATAGCCTGGAACCATGCCACCGCTAGTAAAGGTTTTCTCATGATTTGAAACACAGGAATCATGCTACCACTAGTGAAGGTTAAGTACTGACACATAATTTGGGGAAACTGACACTGTATGATGATAAACTCATTTCTTTTCCTCTTGATGAATATTTAAAGACGTTTTAGTGGAAGGTTCAATCTACCCTTTTGAGTGGAATATAAGCTCCTAAGTGTGCCTTCATCATTGAAAACAGCAAGTTTTTGAGGAAATAATCAAGCTGCTGTGTTCTTCTTGTTTCTCTTATTGCACCGTTAATAGATTTTGCAAATTTGCTTAATTAACTTCTAATTTTTATCTTCTTGCAGTTATGGTTTCCTTTGTATTCAGTTCTACAGCGTAGACATTCTGCTGATATTGCTGAATATAATAGATGTACTATCCAAAGGCATGTGCTTAGTTGAGATCTATCTTGAATTTGAGTTGAACTAGAATTCACTATGTTTCAAGCAATAAATGATAATTTAACCTGCAGTTTGGAGGAGTTCATTCAAACATCCACTGTTGGTGAATTTAGAAAACGTCTTCAACTTCTTTTTGCTTTCCATGGCCAAATCAGCACTGGTATATACTGGGGGTCTTACTTAAGGTACAGATTCCAGAATCAAAGTATGGCAGCAGCTGTTTAAATAGGAAACCATATAAAGAGAACTTCTAAGAAATATATATGTACTTCAAGCATATTTTGTTTTTTTGGTTTTGGTTTTTGTGATAGTACAATGGTGCCATTGTGCTCTGTTATAATCTGTTGCCTGCTAGACTTTTATGAAATCCTTTCTCTTTCAGCCAGTGATTTAATTGGTATTCCATTATGCAGTACTTGCCATACGGAAAGTGTGAGGATTTTATACAATATATTTGGCTTCTATGTGCAATATTTGCCAACGTACGTTCTCTGTCACTATTTTCCAACTTTTAAGATTTATTTCCAAGTGAAAAGCTTTTTAAATATTTTGGTGGTGACGTCTTGTTCAGAATTTTGGAACATATAGAAGATAAGAGAAGAAGTATCGAGAAGGAATTGAAAGAACTTTTGAAGCTATGCCGGTGGGAGCTACCTGAGAGTTATGTTTCCATAGAAAGTTCAAAAAGGACCAGGCAGAAACTTAGGAAGCTCATACAAAAATACACTGTAAGTATCGGTATCATATTGGATATGTTTTGTTCATTCTCATCATTCAATTATTACGTGCATTAATATAGATATACTCAGCTAATCTTATGGTACCGTGTTTGTGTGACCTTCAAGTTAAGGGTGGTACAGGCAAAAAATTCTAAACATGCATGCTTTGAATTTGCTTTATCTTTAGAATTTTAGTGGATTTATTGCCCTATTTGTATTATTTGAAAAATGTATCAATATAGTTACACATAATTATAATGGGTTTGGCTTCTCTCAAGTTGTCATCTTAACTTGAGAGAGCGTTCTGGCTTAGTAAGTCTATTTTGGAACTGATTTTGCTGATCCGAACCGTTCACTTTTTAGGACTCGTTGAGTAGAATATTCATACAAAAAATTAAGATGATTGGATATCGGTAGCTATATATTTGAATCATATTTGTTTTAAAAAAATGGACGACAAATATAATTTCAATAATAGCCATCTATTTTTTATAATACAAATTTAATTCAAACATATAGCTACCGATATTTGACTTTCTTGATTTTTTGCATGAATATTCTACTCAATGAATCCTAAAAAGTGAACAGTTCAGATCATTGAAGTTGGTTCCAAAAGCAACCTACCAAACACAAACACTCTCTCAACTTGAGATGGCCAACATGAGAGAAGCCTATCCCAATTATAATTTGCTGCCTCCGCCACTGATGTTTATGTTCATCAGAGTTTCTTTTGATATCTGTCATCACTTTGTTCTTGTGAATTTTCAATATGAAAGTTTAAGTGCTTAACCAGCCTAGTTGCATACAGATATCCTTGGTTTATTGATTTAATTGGTACAGGATTTACTGGAACAACCCATAATGCTTATTATCAATAAAGATGCTCCACAAAAAGGGATAAAAGCGCAATCTGTGCCACAAGGTCCAAAACTTCACACTGATTCTTTTGACAAGAATAGGGTGATGCTGAATGTTGCATGTGATCAGATTCTATCCAGAGATAAGGACAGGTGTGCTTTGTCTGTTTTGCAATTCTGTATTTTGCAGTGCTGTTAAATTCTCTTGCTGAACTTTGTCTGATTTCTTCTCTGCAGGTCCACATGGTTTATAGATTGGAGGAAGAAAGTAGATTATGCTTTGCAGAACTTGCACCTTGAGAGGACACCTGAGTCTACATGCATTGCATACCAGGAAGAAAGCAAGCAAGTGTGGTGTACCATTGAGAATATTAGCAGAACTGCAATTGATTGTTCTGACCTTTGGAAGGAAGAAAACAAGAGTTTGGGAAAGAGGAGGGCTTTGGCTGACCTTCTGAAGCTTTTAGAAAATTGTGGCTTGTCTAAGCACAGGTCTACAAATTTTGAGGTACATGAGCATACTCAATCTATGGATTTTAGTCTTAAATTTGACGAGAACTTTATTTCCAACGATCTTTTTGAATCTTCAAGCTCAGTCCTTCATATTTCTTGTAAGCTGTCATGTTTTTTGTCCATTGTTTGCTTGTTTCAAGTCTGATGATTGCTTTTTCTGTGTTGGATGGCATTGTATAGGATCAATTCCAATCCAACCAATCAAATTGGTGGATTCTTAAGTCTTCATATGATAGGAAGCATTTACTGATGAAACAAGGTGGTCCGTCTTCCAAGGATTTGTTTGCTGCTCTGTGCCAGCAGCATCTGGGTTTGCCCCTTGAAAGTTTGGACAGGGAATGGGAAACAGCAAACCAATACTACTTTCGGAGCATGGCATCGGTCCACCTTCTGCAGCAGATTTGCCTGAACTTCCATAAAGACTTTACTCTTGAACAGGTACATCTTTTATTTGAAGGGCATGGTTTCGTTAGACTAGACTCATTATTCAACCCCAACCTAATTCTAGTGGGAGCAAAATTTAAAGCTCAAGATGGTTTTGATGGACACGGGGCTCCTATAGTTCTTGTCCGCAGTTGGTTTGTCATGAATTTTGGATGGAATATATGTGTAATTTTTTATTGTTTGAGTGTGTGCGTGCTCGCAAGTAGCTTTTTATTTTATGCTATTATTTTTGATAAGCAACAAAAAGATTTTATTAAAAATGAAAAAGAAGGTACATGTTTGTGCGGAGCTTCTATATTGCATGCATGTTTCACTTGTTGATTGGGCATTTTATGGCACCAAGTTTTGGGGACTAGCCAACTAGGTTTTGCCCGGTGAATGTTATTTCGCTTATATGTTTTTGCTGGGAATCTGATGGGGTTTGGAAGAGAATTGCAGCCCTTACTAGTGAGAATTGTTGGGACCTCGGTAATCTTGTCAGATAGGGATGCCCTTAATTTTCACTGCTGGACCAGTCCTTTGTCTGCACTCCACACTTACGAATTCCACTCAAGTCAATAAGCCTTTGCACTTCACACTAGCAGAAAATGTTGACAGTGTCTTTATTTTGAGTTCAATGTATTGATCTAAATTCGGATGTCATCATATCATGTCTGAAAAGCATCTATATTGAGATTATAATATCTGGTAAGATTGTACTTGACACGCATGTACATTTCATGTTTTATGCAGGTTAACAGATCAGGTTCTTTCCTTGACCATCTTATGGTAATACAACAAGATCAACGGGCTGCTGCATACAGTTTTGCGGAGCATCTTGGGTGCTTAAGGAAATGTGTCTCACTTTTTGAAAATTTATTGTCTGGCTCCCTTGCTTCTGATACTGTAAGTAGTAGCGAGTTCTCTTTTGCCCAGAACCAGCATGCCACGTTTAATTGCATGTGGCAACAAAAGGTAGGCTTTCTCTTCGAATTGGAAATGGTGTCTTATGGAATTTCACCTTCTAGAGCCTGCGATGGCAACACTAACGATACTTTTTAATATTGCAGCAACTATTAGATAGTTTGTGTTCTACGTTGCTTGAAGAATGTTTGCTGCTAAAAGCAGTTGAAAGTAATCATCTGAACAATTGTCAAAGTGTCAAAGCTGCAGCAAATAGGGTTCGCGTTTTCCTTGAGAAATTTATTCCCGACTTTCAGAAATCTAAGGTGCTGATTTCGTTCATTGTGGCACTCTATTGTTTTAACTTTTTCTTTTTATTTTGGTTGGTGGGTTTGTTTGTTTTTTTTTCTTTTATTCTTTTTTTTTGGTGGTGCGTTTTTCTTACGTATGGAAACTTTTCAACAGGATTTACTGGATTGTTACCTCATTGGCCTTGATAGAGTTGTAACCTCACTGGCAATATCTTTGCATCCTTGTGTTGTTTCGAAACAAATGGAACAGTTAGTCTTTCAGAATTTTCGTATGATAAAGGAGTTTGAGGAGAACCTTGGTGCTTTCCTACGGCAAGATGAGGATAGAAGATCAGTTAAAATGGTTCTGCTTGGCCGTTTTGAAGATATATTGAAGAAGGTAGTAGATTCATACATGTATTTTCGAAGAAGAGTTTTCATTTTGTTTCTCCAACTCGAAAAGACGTACTACAATGAATAGTTTACTTCAGAATCCAATGCAGTCTTTCTTTATCTAGCTAAACAATTTGTTGAGCTTTATTTAGGCATACAAAGTAGCTTCTTACAACCTTTGATTTAACATTGATGGAAGTTCTTGATTTAACATTGCAGGTTAACTTGATAGCAGAGGGTTATAATTGTGCTGTGCAATCAAACAACGAGGATGAAGTCACCAGTTTTCCCACAGAAAAAACTTTTGAACTTGAAACTGAGTTTAGTGAAGCCCTCAAAGAAACGTATAAGCATATTGTGGATGCATTGCATAAGATAGTTTGTTGGAATAGCAGTGACACTGCTGTCGAGTCACTTGGTAATATTACTATGTGGAAGATTCAATTTGAATCACATGTAGCAGATCTACATTTAGACGTCATATGTGATGCAGTAGTCCAGGCAATTATTTGTGCAGTAAGTTATATTTTTGTGCTGTTTTTGGGAGAGAATTTTTTTTGAAGTCCCCAAAAAAAAAAAAAAAAGCTCTCTTTTTTGATTTACTCTTTCGTCTGGTGTGTTTTTCTTAGGGGAAGATCGTGAACCATTGTGGTAAAGGAAACCCTCATCTCTGTGTTCAAGTTGAAGCACATTTAAAGCATCTTTATTCATTGTTGGACTTAATGTTGACCTTCAGCAATAGTCTTCTGCATGATTTTCTAGTCGTTCATAGAATGGTAAGTTGGCTCACCTCTAAATCTGCTCTTCACTTTATATGAAGTTAAATTTAGTTTGACATAGTTATATGAATTAAACCAATGTCTTGGACAGTGCGTACAATTCTATGATTTTTCAGTTTTACACGGAGTGCCTAAATTTTATTATTTGAAAGTCTCTTTTTGCTTGCTTTTCTTTGTTTTACTTAGCTTGTTAGATTCTCTCTCTCTCTGCTTGCCCACCACAAACAAGGAAACAAAACACTTTCATTGATTATTTCTATCATTGTCATGATTCTGTTCTTATTTACTACTGAATTACAATTATCTGTTGTATTTAAACATTTCTGACTTCCAGGCATCTCTGTCTAAATTTAATAACAGGTATCTGCAGTAACCTTATTGTCCAAATATCAATATCGTTGTAAACTATTGTTACTTTAGAAATTAATAATTTGTCTATTTGGTTATTATTTTTATTAAGAATGGTTGATAAAAAATATCTAAAAAATAAAAAAAAAGGTAAGATAGTGATTTTACATAGGAACCTTTGTTAACTTCTTACCTATTAAATTACGCGATTATCATTCAAAATAACATTTTTGTTGATTTAAGTATAAATATTTTATATTCATAAGATATATTTAACATTTAAATGTGTAGTTATATGTTTTTAAGTAATTTAGAAAAAGTGACCGAATCTTTACGATTCACGATTCGATTCGATTCGATTCGCGATTCGGTACGAGGCCATTTCAATTCACGATACGAATCCCGATTTGACAACTATGATTATTTCTATCGTTGTCATGATTCTGTTCTTATTTACTACTGAATTACAATTATCTGTTGTATTTAAACATTTCTGACTTCCGGGCATCTCTGTCTAAATTTAATAACAGGTCTCTGCAGTAACTCATGTGCTTGCGAACATTTTTGCTTCATTATATTCCAAAGGATTTGGGATCTGTAATGAAGAAGAGGAATCTAAGGATGATAAAACTGAAGATGCAAAAGGAACGGGTATGGGTGAGGGTGCAGGGCTGAATGATGTTAGTGATCAGATAGATGACGAAGCTCAGCTCCTTGGGACTTCTGAAAAGGTATGGATTCAGACTACATAGCAGATATAAATTTTAGCAATATATCTTCTAACTGATAAATGAAGACATGGTTCATAAATCATAATCATTTTTTTTTTAATGCTTCTGCAGCCGAATGATGAACAAGATGACTTAAATGAAGTTCCAGGCAAAGATGCTAAAGGTATAGAGATGGAACAGGATTTTGCTGCTGATACATTCAGTGTTAGCGAGGAATCTGGAGATGATAACAATGAAGATGATGAGGATGGGCAGCTGGAGTCTGCAATGGGGGAAACTGGCGATGATGGTGAAATCATTGATGAGAAACTTTGGGATAAGGATGATGAAGAAAACCCTAATAATGCAAAAGAGAAATATGAATCTGGTCCATCAGTTAGAGACACAGATTCTAGTGGTAGAGAGCTTAGAGCAAAGGAAGATTCTGATTCTGCCACTCCTGCTGATGAAGCTGGAGAGCTTAATCCCAATGAACTCGACAAGCAAGAAGCTGAGAATGAAAATCAAGATGATCTTGACAATTCTGAGAATGTGGAAGATATGAACATGGACAAAGAAGAAGCTTTTGCAGATCAAATGGGGTTGAAGGTTGATGAGCCTAATCAAGGATCTGAAGATATGGAGATGGATGAACAGGAAGGCGCAGATACCATGGAAGATGATGGCCCAGAAGAGCTTGATGAGTCTGATGAAAATAAGAATGGTGAGGAAGAGAAGCACGAGTCACTGGATGAAGGTCTGGAAGAGGCAGAAACTGAACAACCTGGTGGAAATGCTGAAGGGGATGATGTGGGGAATACTAAAGAAGAGGCTACAGCGATGGACTTGGCGATGGCAAAAAAAGATGTGTTCGAACCATCTACTTCTGACCTTTCTATTGACCATGTGCCACCAAATGCTGAATCTGCTACACAGCCAAAGGGTGACTCACTTGCAGCAGATTTAAGAGATGTTGCATCCAAATCCGAAGAAGCAAAGTGGTCTAATACAAGTGACAGTCAGAATGACCTTGCTCCTATGAGAGGCCTACAAAATGCATCCGAGATTGAAATCAAAGTAAATGACTCTTCACAGAGTGGGAAAATAAGTGATGATCAACCACAAAGTCAGTTGCCTCAATATGATCCTTCATCATCTCAGAAAACCCAACCAAACCCTTGTCGTAATGTTGGTGATGCCCTTGAGGAATGGAAAGAAAGAGTCAAAGTGACTGTTGATCTTCAGGAAAACAACAAAGAATCTCTAGATGATATGCTAGATGAGGATGCAGATGAGTATGGATATGCTGCGGAGTTTGATAAGGGAACAGCTCAGGCATTGGGATCTGCAACATCTGAACAGATGGACAAGAACATCAATGGTGACAAGCCTGATGAAGACGGCAAAACCATGGGTAGAGAAGACCTTACTGAGATGGAAGTTGAAAAGCAGGATTCTGAAACGCGCCCTATTAGAACTTTGGTCACGAATCGTACAGAAAAGATTGAGGGGCAGGTGGAGATCCATGACTCAGAGGAGCCACCGGAGGAATCCCAAGAAATTCACGGCCATGACAAGAGTGATCATTCCCTATCAGGCAGCTTGGTGTCCTTGAAGAGATCATACATGGCTGAGGACATAGACCAACTTGATAAACTTTCCCTGCACGACAAGGAGCTAGGGAAATCTCACAATCTTGAGGCAATACCTAATGATGTGAGAGATAATGCCACTGTTCTCTGGAGAAGCTACGAACTGCGCACAACCAGGTTGTCTCAAGAGTTGGCTGAACAGTTGCGTCTGGTCATGGAACCCACTCTAGCTAGCAAGCTCCAAGGGGATTACAAGACTGGAAAAAGGATTAACATGAAGAAGGTAAACAAAAAAACATTATTATTATTATTTTATCATTCAGTTACGGGCTTCACTGTTTTTTAAAGAAAAAAGAATAATTGTAAGTTCATAATTGGCAATTGCCAGGTGATTCCGTACATTGCAAGCCATTATCGGAAAGATAAGATATGGCTAAGGCGTACCCGGCCCAACAAACGTGATTACCAAGTTGTCATTGCTGTGGATGATTCCCGCAGCATGTCAGAGTTTCATTGTGGAGATGTTGCTGTTGAAGCTTTGGTGACGGTATGCCGTGCCATGTCTCAATTGGAAGTGGGAAATGTGGCTGTTGCACGCTTTGGAACGAAGGGAAACATTAGGTTACTCCATGAGTTTGATCGGCCTTTCACTGGAGAGGTTGGGGTCAAGGTTAGTATATTCTTCAGAACATCAAGTGAATATATATGAGAAATGTTTGAGACTCACAATTTATCCTACAATGACATGATAAGGGGAGTTGGGCCTTACATGGTTGAGTTTGTGGCAAATCAAAAGTTGACACATAACGTGTCATGTCATTGTAGGTAAAATTGTGGGTCTGAATTTTTTTCCAATATATATATATACATGTACATATATAAGTTGCCTAAGGCATCTGGAATATACATGTATCTTGTTTTCTTTATTGACATGAACTGTTCCATGCGATTAATTTTTTTTTTAAAGATGAATGTCTGAGATTTGATTAACTGTTACACAGATGGTCTCAAGCTTGACTTTTAAGCAAGAAAATACCATCGCGGATGAACCCATGGTTGATCTCTTGAAGTACGTGAACAATATGCTGGATGTTGCAGTGGCAAATGCACGACTCCCTTCCGGACAGAATCCTCTACAACAGCTTGTTTTGATCATCTCTGATGGTCGGTTCCATGAAAAGGTACTTCTTTTTGTCAAATTGTCAACATGCTATATGGATTCTTCAAAATAAATCAAATACCTATGTTTGACACTTGACACTTGGACAAGGGTGTGGGATGTGTCTGATGCCTTCCATCTGACACTTATCTATTTGTATTTAACACTATCATTTTATGTATAGATTGTTATATAATTGCTATAAAATGAGTAAAATGCCTTTTGATACTGTATGTTACCTAACTACCATTTTATGTTACATAAAAAATATGAAAATGTGACCCATTGTCCAACCTCTAGATACGAACCCGTACCTAAGGCCATGTAACATAGGTCAACAGTAATTAAAGGTCACTACCTCCTGCTATGGTTTGAACTTGTTTGTACTTTTTCACTGGTTCTTATATTTCTTCAAATCAAAATACAGGAAAATTTGAAGCGCTGTGTTAGGGATGTCTTGACTAGAAAGCGTATGGTAGCATTTCTGCTTCTGGATAGCCCTCAGGAGTCCATAATGGACCTCGTGGTATATATCCTTATTTATCCTATTGTATTGTTTGTGTTCGTCTACTTTTTGAGCAAATCTCGTGCCATAAAATTTAATTATGCTTTTTTGGGCCTCCAGGAAGCATCATTTGAGGGTGGTAATATAAAATCTTTGAAGTATCTAGACTCATTCCCGTTCCCATTCTACATTGTCCTGAGGGACATCGAAGCACTTCCTAGAACCCTTGCTGATTTATTGAGACAAGTAAGTTTCTGCAGTGCTCAAATATATTGCAGGTTATTGTGTTGCCTTATTGTAGATTTTGATGTTCCTTTTGTATAATACTGATGCAATGTTTTTGGTCTTTCATTTACCTACTGCAGTGGTTTGAGCTAATGCAATCTTCTAGAGACTAATTGCATGACAGAGCTCTAGTCGACTTGGTTGATTTTTCCGCGCAGAGTGAAATACAATGTGTGTGTGTGTGTGTGAGAGAGAGAGAGAGAGAGAGAGAGAGAGAGAGATGAGATTACAGACAAATAGCAGAGCGGGGAGAATAAGATCATTGTATAGCTGTTTCTGAATTTTGTACATATTACAGTTATTATCAATATAAATAGGCTATGTGCCACATTTTTGGTGAATCTGGTGCGTTTTTCAAGTATAGATTTCTCATGTGAATTTGGGTCTTCGTGAGTTTTGCATATTTTGTGTAAAAGATATTAATGTATATCTTGTGCATTATCTATGATTTTTGGGAATTTTTGATGGAATGTAAGCTTACTTTGTGTAAAAGCACAAAATTTAGATGGAAGTGAGAGTGCATAGCGCAAATCTGAGAGCATGACTGGCCGTGAACTATGTGTCTTGGTCTTGGTCTTGGCCCACAGTGCACTAAACCTTTACAACTCATTCACAACGTCAAAATAGCCATAATAAAAAGAAACACAAAATTTGTTTTTAGTCTTAATCACGGGTCATAAAAAGACATTTTACACCAAATGGTAACTAATTGTAACATGTATACGAGGCTCAATATTTTAATGATGGAATCTCATTATTAATAAATAATTATACAAATTGAATAAATGTATGGACATCTTAAGGAGGTCGAGACACAATCAGTTTTTCTCAAACAGCTCACCTGAAAAATATTAATGAATGAAATGAGATAATGTGTAATATAATAATACATTTAAACAAGTAATGACAATTTGAAAAATAATTATTTAAGAATTTCATTTTGCATTTGAAAATAAGAGCACAAAGAAAATCTCATTTCCAAAATTCTTAATTTTCGGTACCAAATGGTAGTAACAACATAACCATCATGCAGTTCCAAAAAAAAAAAAAAAAAACGTAACCATCATTCTATATATGTGAACAATAATCATGATCTCAATTATCAATTCTAAACATATATACTCAAGGCAACAAGGGTCGGTGGATTTGGTTTCGAATTTTTTTTTATCGGTGAAAGTCAGTTGTTAATTGTTAAATTAACACTTATGAGAGTTAGTCTCTTTACCTTTTAGTTTCGAACTTAGGATTACGATGGGGTGGCGCTTGAGCCTTTTCTGAAGTCAATCTAGTTGAAGTCACTCGAATGCATCAAGACTCTTTTAAATCATTGAGAATTACAGTTATTATTGTCTTTCTAATATCTTTTCTTTAGTGGCCAGAATCACTCCGCACAAAATATATTCCCTAAAATAAAGTACAAAATAATCATTATAAGAGGTCAGGGTCACTTTGCACAAAAAAAAGAAAAAAATATTTTCTAAAATTTTGTTCCATATATATCATAGGACAAAGTTTTATTATACCAAAATGGTGTTTAAAAGTCGTATTTTAAAAGCAATTATAAAACATGTATCATGTGATGATGTTTGAAAAGAAAGAATTCTCATATTTATAAAAATGTGAAATTTATTTTATCTCTCTATGATTTGATCGTGTTGTATTTTATCCTTTTTTTATTATTTCTTTTTATTATAAAGAATAGTTACATAATTCTCATGTAATTTTGAACTAAATTGCAATACTACCTTCGTTAACTGTAATGATATAAAGACGATTATACTCTTCCTATTCTTTCTCTACATCTAATTCTATTTATAAAAGATCAAACTAAAAATAAAAAAATCTAAATCAAATACTTTCAGTTACGAAACTTTGATTTTTTTCTTAATCTTTAAAATTTTAACCTACTTACTAACTTAATCAAATACTAAATTATAAATTATTTACATACATATATAATTATATATGCACATGTAATATGTATGAACAAAATAGTAGATTCACATATATATATATATGTGTGTGTGTATATTAAGAATGGATGGTCGATTTTAGTTATTGTTTATTAACCTTTTAATGTAATTATATTTTAGATCAAATTAATCATAAATATTTAATTATTTGTTGTAATTCTTAACATTTTAATCTTATTTTAATCTAATTATATTTTAGATTAATCTTTAATTATTATTTATTTTATATTTTAATCTAATTATTTTTAAATCAATTACTCCACTAATTATATTTTATTTGTTATATCAATTCTTAATTATATTTTATATGTTAGATTAGTTCTTAATTACATTTTTATTTTATTTTAATTAACATCTTAACATACAGGGTCATTTGTGTCTTTTTCAAAGTTAGTTTTGGAGGGAAATTCTATTTCCACGTACCTATTTATCTCAATGCACACACTTAATGAAATATTGTCAATTATACCCTAAATTAAAATGACCGTAATGGACATCTACTAACACCCATAATATTATATGAAAATATTATTTGTACACATCTTTTAAAGGGGTTTTTTTTTTTTTAAGGTCCCTCGTATTAAGATTTTATAGCATAAAGGACATCTAATATTTTCATAATGTCTAAGGTCCCTCAAGTTGATCCAGAGAAAATTGGTCCAGAGAAAATTAGTCCAGAGAAATTTGGCCTCCTTAGCCTTTCATGGACTCTCCAGAGAAATTTCAAATTTCTCTGCCTTCTATATACTTCCCACTCTCCAGAGAAATTTCTCTGTGGCTTCTTTATCTCATTATTAAGATTGTTTGGTGAAATATTACCCATGTTCCAAAGCTAATCCATCTTGACTTGAATTTTACTGTTATTAGGTTTGTGATTTTGGATTGTCTTGAATGAAACACAACACATTTCTTTCTTCAAGGTCAATTGCAGGGACGGTAAGCAGTACTTGTAAATTTGTAATTTAGTCCTATTCCTCTGCTGCATGCTAACCTAAGCTGCTCCCCACCACCACCATCTCACACTTCTGCTGCGTCAAGAAAAGTCCCTTCAGGTTGGTAACCGAGTCTACTATTCCTCTTTTTTCTTCGAGGGGCAATACAAATTGAAAATTGTTTCAAGCAACATAACACAATGAAGATGTACAATGTAGAGAAAATAACTTCTAATGGGGATACATAATATAGAGGAAACAACTTTCTTCATAACATAAGAAAGAAAGATTGAAAATTCTTAGACAATGCAATAAATGTAAATTATAAATGTCATAGATAGACTTCTTCTACGGAATGTTGAAATTTGTCCCTAGAGTTGCAAGATCATTTGGAAAGCTTTCACCAGCTACTTGGGTTGTGGCCATTATGCACCATCATAGCCATGTCTTCTAAGATATCCTAGGGCCCCTGTTCTTTGAACTCTAGCTCATCTGCTTCGACTTTCTTTCTAAAGATCTTCTTAAGCGTCCGACACTTTTCTGTAGGATGTCCTAGCTAGAGATCGGTGGAAAATACAATAATTAGGGCCCTCCCGATCCTTCTTTGGCAAAAGCTCGTCAATACGAGGCAACTTCAGTTCTCCGTCTGCCACCCATTCTTTAACTAAGGCCTTCACCTCCTCAACACTACATGGAAAAGGAGTGTCATCTTCACAGTTTTTTCTCTTCTGACCTCTGAATTCCTCCCCCTGCGACTTTCATGTAGAAGACGCGGAAGCCGTAGTGACAGAAGGTCCTTGGGATGCCTTGAAGCGGGTTTTAATAACTAGTCTCGAACCCGATCTCCTGAGATTGAGGTACGTTGATGTTTCGAGATGCTTCAATTAGTGTTAAGAAGGTGGGTAGCTTGTGATTAACAAGAAGCATCTTGTACCCGTTCAATGCCCCTTCAACACAGATTTGGACCAAGTAGCTTTCCTCCACAGCCTCATGACAGTCCATGGCTTTGTCTTGGAACCTCTTTACATATTCGAGAATGTCTTCACCCTCCTGCTGCTTTTCCTTACACAAGGTAAGTGCGGTCACTTTCTCGGCCACTTGAAAGAATTTGGTGTGGAATTTGTTGACCATCTCCTCCCAACTTCGAACAGAGTTTGGGGCCAAGTTAACGTACCAACTATATGCTCGGTCGGTGAGGGACTTGGAGAATTCTCTCAGTCGGAGGACATGATTTGAACCATGAATCCCTAAAGTCTCGATGAACCGAACAACATGTTCTCGAGCATTTCCTTGCTTGCCATTGAATTTGATGAACTTGGGCACCGTGTACCCCTCCAGGTATGGATAACTCAACATGTCGATAGGGTATGGTGGCTTGACATCCGGATTAGGCAAAGAGGGTAAAGTCTTCTTGCCTCGTTTGAGATCGAACATGGCTTGCACATCGGTGATAGTGAGAAATTGTTGAGGGAGAGAACTTGATGGTTGTATTCCCGGAACCTGACTTGTAGACCCGAAGATTGAGCTTGGAGCAACCTGGCCATTTGGGTGTTCAGAATTCATCATCAGTGAAGACACATGACAATATTGGCCATCGGCACCTATGGACATGCCATTCGGTGATGGGACGTTGCATTGGGTCCCATAAAGTCCATTGTACGCCACGGCTATATCGGGTTGGGCTTGCAAACTCGACATCGGAGCCAAAGGAGAGCCACTCGGTATATGAGTAGAATTTACAATCGGTGAAACAAAATTAGGCATGGATGGAGCACCATTTTGTAGAGAAAGTTCTGAATGAGCAAGTGGATGCTCCCCAACTTGATCCAAAAGGACATGGACTTGAAAATGGGAGCTCTTTGAGTGATTTGGTAAGATAATTATAGTTGCAGCATATGGAACCTGCAGCTACTAAAGGTTTTGAGATGTGTCAGCCCAAAAGTAGTCTTATTGCTTCTTTGCTACAATTTTTTTTTTTTGTTCTTTTTAAATTTATTTATTTTCTGTTGGCATAGTATTTGTCTGTGCTAATTTTTGCAGTTCATCCATGAATTTCTTTGATTATATGCATAAGGATCAATATCACCCTATTTGGGGCCATATTGAGAACTATACTGCTGGAAGAGAAAAGCAGAAGCAGCTACTTTTGATGTTATGCCAACATGAAGCCGATAGGCTTGAAGTTTGGGCACAACCTGTTAACTCAAAGTAATCATCATCAAATTAACAGTTGTTTACTTATTGTGTCAATCTTCTGGTTAAGGATAATGATATGATTTTGACATTCATTATATGTTATTGCATTCACATCTGTATCAGGGAAAATACATCAGAGAAATGGATTGAATATGCCAGAATTGCATTTTCTGTTGATCCACAGATAGCACTATCCTTGGCCTCGAGATTCCCTACAAATACTTTCTTGAAGGCTAAAAT